GACGACATCCTTATCTTTGCGAAGAATGAAAAAGATCTCGAAGAAATCATGAAAAAGGTCTTACAATGTCTATGGGAAAATGATCTTTATTTGAAGCCAAAGAAATGCAAATTCAATAAGAAGAAGGTCGAATACCTTGGAATGATCATTGAAGAAGGAAAGATCTCTATGGACCCTACCAAACTCAAGGGTATCCGAGACTGGCCAACTCCTACTTCAGTTAAAGAAGTACGATCCTTTTTAGGATTTGGAAACTTTTACAGACGATTCATCCAACACTTCTCTGACCTCTGTCAACCGTTGAATAATCTTTTGAAGAAAGATGTACCTTTTGAATGGACGGACAAATGTCAAGAAACCTTCAAACTCCTGAAACAATGCTTTACTGAAGAACCGGTTTTACGAATGCCCGACCCAACCCAACCTTTCCAAATTGAATCCGATGCTTTGAAATACGCATCAGGAGCAGTCCTTACCCAAACAGACATGAACGGTGATGTACCTGCAGTGGGATCAGACCACAAGTAATACATAGTTCGTAGGGGTTAATGTATTATTTCCTCGATAAGGTATAGGAGAAGTTCGCTATATTGGAATTCGCAGTGCGGACAATCCGCGAGGAAAGCGAAGTTCGTGAACAATAACACAGTGCGTGAATAAGTTGAGAGAATGAGACTTTTGACTTAGAACGAAGCTTCAAAGTTTATGGGATCAAAACTCTGGCCGTCTCTTGTTCACCTTGCCTCCTACTTGCTACAGGTACTTAATACAAGAGTAAGAAGCTAGCCAGGTGCGGATATGCAAAACAGTAATGTAAAAATTGAGCTAATGCGAAGTCACATGGGCCCAGTAGTTTGGTAACAAAGAAATAGGAGATAGAATAATAATAGAAGTGATGAGTAAGGAGGTCAGTTGAATGACCTCCTGTTTCGAAGGAGATGATAAAATAATAATATATATAGAAAGTTAAAAGAAAGTAAGTTGAAAACAAACACGGACCATGATCAAACCAGTGAAAGGGATGTGTATGCGAGCCGTGAAAGACCGCAAGATTAAAGAGAAGCTGTGCAAAGGTGTGGTTGCGAAGGAAAGAAATGACTAAGTCCAGTATTGATAGAGAAAGTTGAAACTGGTCTGAAGTATGGAGTGCAAAGAGAGAGTGCTTTCAATAGTTGTAGGGGTCATGGAATGATTGTGTGATGTATGAGCGAGGAGTAAAAGGTAGTGCCAGACATACAAATGATAGTGTGAGAGTTACTGGTAACCGCGGTATCGCGCACCAATACTGATTGGTAGTGTGAGAACAAAGCTTAAAAGTTGCCATCATGAAAATAAGCGGACTTTGAATTCACTTACCTATTTTGGAAGCAGCCCTGAATCACGTTCCTGGTCGACAAAATCATTCGTTCGATGTTAACATCCTCATCACTCATCATATCCTCAATGTCTTCCACTATGTTGTCTATCATTTACACTATCGACATGCTCCTTAATATCTACCATCCATTCGTTCCTTGGCTAGCGATTCAACAAAGCGATCAATCTACTATTCGCATCGGTCATCGGCTCGCATTTGATCACATCTATGGCCCATCATTTCAAGAACGGCCCGTTTATGGATGCATCAGCTACATCTCCCATTATGTCAAAGGCTTTGTCATCGTTGTTGTGGCTATGGACCCACAAGTCTCTGCCTCAGCTATCTATCTTGCCATACCTCGCTCCTGGATCTCACTCAGTCCCCTATCCTCACTCATCTACCTCTTATCTTATCATTCACTGCCAAAACCATCATTCACATGGTACCTGAAGCCTTCCCACCCTCTTTATGACAATTTAGGAAGTCCAGAAGGATCATGACTAAGCAGGAATTGCAGATGAATCAGCAGCAGAGGATTATTCTTGCAGAGTGTCAAGTGTTATCAAGGCTGCGCGACATGGGATCATGGGCCAGGTAGTATTTTCTCAGGAACAAGGCTGCGCCTTTCAAGTGTTGACTCAGGACCTTTCATATTTTTGACATGACCACACGGCTATGGAGTTGATATATTTTTACTATTGGGCTATGCGCACTGCCTTCTCCTCTTTTCTCTTGCACTTTGACACTTGTACAGATTTTTTTACTGTTCCTTTTTCTTTTCCATTGTTCTTTTCTTCTCGCAGCTGTCCTTTCTTCATTCCTCTTCTGACAGCGCATACTTCTTTCTTTTATTTTTGTTTTACATAGCCTCATCCTTAGGTATAAATACTGCTCTTTTGTACCAGGATAGGTAGTTCATTTCAATTCATTCTTACCCCCCAACAATCATCATCTCAGTGGAATTCCAGTGAATTCCTTCCTCAAGTTCGCTTTTTTACTCCTTTACTGTCAATCCATCTCTCTACTGTTATAGTCTTACTGAAGACTCTATCATCCACATCCTCATCCTCTACTCCCTTCGCTTTTTCAGCCCTTTTATCTGTCACTGTCCTCTACTGTCAACCGCTATAGTCTCACCAAAGACTCTTCCTTGTTCATCCTCATTCTCCTCTTCTCTCTTTTTACCAAGTGTGCTTACTAGTCTCTGGTTATACCTTCCCTAAACGAACACAGGGGGATATTCTGACCTAAAGTCTGGTCCAGTTCCCTCTGGTTGGTGTTTAATAACAACACAAACAACGATTTATAGCAGCCGAGAGCGTGAGTGGTAATGGTAACCGCGAGGTATCCACGATTGTCTGCGAAGTTGGTAAAACACAAAAATAACTAGTTTACGAACCTAGAGGTTATATGGGTCCTATCATCCTCCTCCCAACTGAAATCTAGACTGTCCTCAGTCTAAACCCTATGCCCTGGTCAAACTCCCATAAGTCATGTGAGATCCCACTGGCAGTTGAAACCTATAAAAGGCAAGTCTTCGCGCCACACTTTGTTCTTCATCGTCTATCGTCAACTCCATTCTCTACTGCTTAATCCATCCTCCACATGTCTTCTAGCGCTTCCATTCCTACTGCTGCTGCTGCTGTCACGGCTCCTGCTGATTCTAGTGCACTAGCCACTACCTCTGCTGATGTACTTCGCTCGCCAGGTAATCGCTTTGCTGAAGCTTTCAAGGAGTTCGAGGATACTGTGGTATTCTTTGGGAACACGCCTGCGCACATGCAGCAAAAATTCATCAAGGTAATGGTGCAGGATATTTTAAGTTGTTGTTCCTCTTCCTCTTCCTTGCGTGAGTATTACTGACTTTCTTCCTAGTACAAAATGAAAGACCTCATGCGTCAAATGACCGAGGCATACGAGTTCAGCGACCTCGACCCTGCCGATTTTCAAAGGCTGGCCAACAAAATTCTGGCTTCGACAACCTTTCGTACCAACTGCAGCAAGTTAATGATCGCTATGGCTGACGCAAGGCGGCTCCTCGAGGATTTGGATAAACTTCGGCCTCCTGTAGCTGTCCCATCACCAGCTGAACACGTCACGCCTCCTTGCTCGCCAGCTATCACACCTGCAGCTGAAGAACAAGACGATCCTATGGACGACGCAGATGAGGATGAGGATGTTGAAGAAGGTAAAGCTAGCCTTCACATCTCTTTCTTCTTCGCTAATCTTCATGACATAGTGTTAAGTTTAAGAACTCTGTTCCGGAGTTTTGACGGAGTAATAGACGGAGTCACAGAATGGAGTCATGGAAAGGATAGGACTTAGCCTCAGCTTATGTGCTGTGCTACCCAGAACCTTCGTGTCCTAGATTTCAGAGTAAGACGGAGCAGAGCGGAACCAGAAGTTGCAAAGAACTTAGAGGAAGACCAAGAGTGGGAAAATAAGTTGATATTCGAACTGAGGAAAACATACAAGTTTCGAGTACTTAAATATAAAAGGAATAGCATCTGAAATATAAAATATAAATATAAATGCTGCGTTGATAGGACCCAGGAGACATCTAGGGATGTAAACGCACCATTTTCGCGGTTTCACAACCTTTGCAGTATACTCACAGATGCTCACATATCATTGCGGATACTTGCAGATCATCGCAGATCATCACAGATCATCACAGATCATCGCAGATCATTGCAGGTCATCGCACATACTCGCACATACTCGCAGCTCATCGCAGAACACTTGCAGATCATCGCAGATGCTTGCAGTCATCACCAACATTCGCATTATCATTTGCAGTTGCCAGCTGTTCTTGCAATCATTAAACACGACTCAAACAAAGGTCACTCAGGTGACTGTATTACTCATCACCTTTATTTTTATCTTGTCCCCTTTATTTGGCTCTTATCTCCTATGTTTCATTACCAATTTACCGGATCCATGTGACTCCGCTTTAACCCACATTTTACATTCTTGTTTCACCTTTCCGCACTTAGCTATTGCTAGTTACTATATTATTAGCAGTAGCAAGTAAGGTAAGGGAGGAGGAGAACGGACAAATTACCACAGTTTTGATCCCACCTTTGGAACATCGTACTAAGCTACACTTGCACTCCCCAAAAATCATCCTGCTAACTTCGCTTTTTCTGCACATTATCTCGCACTTTAAAGCGAACCTTCGCACCTCATAAAACCTCACTATCACCTATTGAAGAGAACTACATCAACCCCTTGAACTACATACTACTTGCGGTCTGACCCCATCGCAGGTACATCAGCGTTCTGCTCCCGGAAGGTCCTGCATTCTTGGGGTGAATAATCCATAGCTGGTGTGCTGACTGATGGTAGGAAAGTGATGACAAAGAAATAGTGGTTGTGACGAAGATGTGGAAATGAGTTTGGAGTAACGTCGGAAGAGCCGGAATGATACGGAGAAGTCTCAGAGTTGGACATAGAAGGAGTAAATCTGGAGGCAAGGGAAAGTACTGGAACGGAGTACGGACTACCAGAGACAACTCTGACGGAGCTGGACCGGAGTAACATATAACGGATCATAACAGTACCTCCCTGTCAAGGCCGAGACCCTCGAGGCCACGTGATGGTCCGTGCGAGGCTGACGTGGTATAAAGACCGTCGGAGACTGGTGGAGATTCTTCACTTCGGATAACTTCCTAAACCACCATCCTCTACAAAAAAAACACTATGAGTTCCAACAACAAAGCCGGCTCCTCCCTCCCCCCTGCTGCGCAACGAGCAAGGCTCAAAGAAGCACGAGAACGTCGGCGGAAAGAGCGGGAGGAGGAAGAGAAGCGGGAAGAAGCGGAGATTGCGGAAGCCTGGAGGCTAGAGGAGGAGGAGGAGAGACTGAAGGCGGAGGCGGAGGCGGAGAGACAACGGGTAGAAGCGGAGAGGAAGAGAGTTGAAGCGGAAAGGAAAAGCAGGGAGGAGCAGCAGCAGAAACTGCTGGAGATGCAGCGGGTTCGAAAGGCGGAGGAGCAGAGGAGGAGGGAAGCGGAGGTCATTGACATAGATGACGAAGAAGTAGAAGAAGAACAGGAAGACAACGGGATGGAGGCGGGGCCCAGTGTCCCAAAGAAAAGAAAGTTAAATGAGAAAGTAAGTGAAATCTGGTAAAAAAAAAAAAGGAAAACATAATACTAAAACAAATCCAGTAATTTACAGTCCCCCAGGGATTCCGAGGAGTCCGAGCGGATCTGAGCGGAGTCCGAGGAGTCCGAGCAAATTCTGAGTGGAGTCCGAGGAGTCCGAGCAGATTCCGAGTGGAGTCCGAGGAGTCCGAGCAAATTCTGAGTGGACCGGAGCAAATAAGACACAAATTGGCTGGGAAAATACTTCTGTTAAGGTTAAGACAAAATTCTGTTAAGGTTTTGTTAAGGTTTTGTTAAGGTTTTGTTAAGGTTTTGTTAAGGTTTTTTGTTAAGGTTGTGTTAAGGTTTTTGTTAAGGTCAGGGAGGTATATAGTTTGTTAAGGTTTTGTTAAGGTTTTGTTAAGGTTTTTTTAAGGTTTTTTTTAAGGTTTTGTTAGGGCTTTGATAAGGTTGGGGAGGTATATAGGTTCCAGTCCGAGCAAGTCCGAGTGAGTCTGAGCAATCCGAGCGGAGTCTGAGCGAGTCCGAGCAGTCCGAGCGGATTCTGAGCACATTCTGCTTGGAATACACTCAAATACACTGAAAAAGTGCTCAGACTCGCTTGGACTCCGCTCGGATCTGCTCGGATCTGCTCGGACTCTGTCGGATTCCCTGGGGGAGTGTAAAGACCTCCAGTCGACACACTCATGTTGATAAGAGATGAAGTGCATGTTTAGAAGCTGTCTTAGTTGAGGTGATGGCTTTGTTTATAAAGCGTCAACGTGTCATCTGCATTTTTGATGTGTGATTCCGGTTCCCACGTTGCTTCGGAGATCGGGTAATCTTTCCATCGGATCTTGAATTGATATCCGCATCCTCATTTTCTGTGTCCTATGATAGATTCGACTTCATATTCTTCATTTCTGTCGATGATTTCCGCTGGTGGTTTCAAGAAGTTTGGTCCGTTGATATGATTTAAATCTGCATAAGCATGGTTTTTGCAATTTTTATCTATTATTTCAGCATAAATATTAATTAATGCACCAATAACTGGTTAATACAACTGATAATAGACAAGGGAATCAGAGTTGTTTACCCTACAACTGCTGATTAGACCTATTACTGTGTGACTTAAATGCATATAGTTAATAAGTGTGGTCAATAGACTATCATTTGTTACACTACAAATTGCATGTCTGGATTAAAACCAATAAATCCATGAATATCCTTATAGACTTGGCACAGGAAAAGTTAAATAAACAATATTGGGTTAGCAAATGTCATGGGGTGTGATTTTGGAGCAACAGAATATTATTAATAAATATTCAGGGGAAGTTGGTGCCCTAGCAACAGTGGAAGCAGAATAACCAAGATAGTGGAACCATGTGATTGTGTGGGAATCATGATGATTAAGGATAGGGGGAGTGCTGAACAATCATAAAGATTGTTTCCAGGCACAATAGGCACAGTTACCATCAAGAGGGGTGGAAACTACCTAAAATTAGGAACATGGGGCTAAAAATAGAACAACCCCTATATTTCCAGGAACAATGAGTGCACATGGTGCCAGAACCAAAGTAAGGGTACCAGGAACCAGTATATCTATTTTTGGACATTATCTATTTTTAAATATCTCAAATGTATAAAATACCTCCCAGGGTTTGTAAATAGTCAGAAAATTGGATTCTTTCTTTCCCCCCTCATTTGCAACCTAGTACAGCTCACTGTCTTAGACATTGAGCAAGAACACTTGTCTTTGAGTAGTGGACTTGAAAATAAATCAGTTTCTCAGAGTTGTTTGACTTGTTGCAATAATTGTTGAATTGTTGTAAAAGTTGTTGTTGTGTTAAAGTCATAGCAGAAGCAAGAGGGCTTCTTGTGTATGCAATTGTGTTGAAGTTGTAACAAAGTCTTGGACTTTTGTGTACACAAATTGTAAATCAATCAGAGAAGTCTTAGGAATTCTTTGACTGATTGTTGGTGCAAGCCATAAATTGCAAAACCACTTTAAAAGTTTGATCATCCTTTAATTGATCCAAATTATTGTTGTTGTTGTGTGTATTAGTTGAAGTGAATTCAAAATATTGGAAAGGTTATACTTTCTAGAAAACCCAACTTGCATTATTAAGATTGTATAAAGTATTGATTGAGTGATTGTTTTGAGTAGAGATTTTATAATCTTGAAAATACACCTTTTCTCAACAACCTCTGTGCAGTTACATCACCGCTAAACGCAGTTTCCATCAAGGATAGTGCAGTCCCGCCTATGGTAGAGCCGTATGCGGAGTCGTTTGGTGCTCAAGCATGCTATGGCATGTTTGACCTGTATGTCGGGTTTGATCAGAGGAGTCTAGCCCAGCAATCAAGAGATTTAACAACATTTCAGACGCCATTAGGGACATTCAGGCTTACCTCGATACCCATGGGTTACACTAACTCGATGCAGATTTTCCACAGGGATATGATGTTCTTGCTGCAGGAGGAAATACCACATGTTACAGTACCCTTTGTGGACGACATACCGGTGAAAGGGCCAGCGACGTGGTATGAAATTGAAGGCGGCGGTTATGAAACAATCCCAGAAAATAAGGGGATCTGTAAGTTTGTGTGGGAACACTTACAAAACATTAATTGAGTCATCCAAAGGATCAAGCATGCGGGAGCTACGTTCTCAGGATACAAATCATTTCCCTGTGTTGAATCAGCGGTTATCATTGGCCATAAGTGCATGTATGAAGGCCAAATGCCGGACGACACAAAAATACAAAAGATAATTGATTGGCCGGTTTGTGAGAGCCTAACACAAGTCCAAGGATTCTTAGGCGTCCTAGGAACGGTCCGAATATTCATCAAGGGATTCGCTGCTCTAGCTAGACCACTAGTTAACCTCACAAGGAAAGGAGTTGAATTTGAATTTACTGACGAACACCTGTTTGCAATGGAACAGCTCAAAATGAGCGTACAGAACTGCACAGCAATCAGAGCATTGGACTATGTGACCGATAGGGAGGTCATTTTGGCGGTGGATTCGTTGTGGATGGCAGTCGGTTTCATCTTATCCCAGATTGGAGACAACAACAAGAGATATCCTTCAAGATACGGGTCAATCACCTGGAATGTGACAGAGCAAAGGTACTCACAGGCAAAGCTAGAGCTCTATGGCTTGTTCCGGGCTCTAAAGGCAGTCAAGATGTACATAGTCGGTGTGAAGAATTTTGTTGTCGAGGTGGATGTGAAGTATATCAAAGGGATGATAAATAATCTGGATATACAGCTGAGTGCTACCATCAATAGGTGGATAGCGGGTATCCTCTTATTCCATTTCAAACTCAGACACGTTTCTGCAAAAGACCACATGCCCGCGGATGGCTTATCAAGGAGAGCAACAGCACCGGATGACCCGAGCAACGAGGATGATGGGAATGATTGGATTGATGAGGCCTACGCATTCAGTATCGAGTGTCGTAACATGGCACAACCCTCCAAATCACAGAATAGCAGCCTCGGTCCCAAATCCCTACAAAATACCCATACAACAGAAGAAATGCTCATACTCAACGGCAATGTGCTAAAAATACCCTGATCAGAGAAGGCCATCGAGAAGGATCTAAAAATAGATAAGATACGGCAGTTCCTTGAAAATCCACAGCCGCAGCCAGACATCACTGATCACGAATGTCAGCGCTTCATAAAATCAGCATCAAAATTCTTCGTATTAAAAGATAAGCTGTGGAGAAAAGATAAGATAGGAAAACACAAACAAGTGATCGACGAAGACAGGAGGCTAGGGCTGATCAAACAAGCGCACAATGACTTAGGTCACAAGGGAATCTATACAGTCAAAACTAGATTGGCAGAAAGGTTCTGGTGGTCTCACATGGACGAAGATATTAAGTGGTTTATACAAACCTGTCACGAATGTCAAGTACGACTATCCAAGAAGCTCGAAATTCCGCATACGGTGCCCATGCCGGCTGGATTATTCAGAAAGGTCTATATCAATACCATGCTAATGCCAAAAGCGAAGGGATATCAATATATTATCCATGCGCGATGCTCTTTAACCTCATACCCAGAGTGGACGATGACACGGAATGAAAACTTCAAAATGATCGCCAAGTTTATTCATGATATACTATTGTGCTGATGGGGTGCAATCGAGTTCCTAGTAACGGATAACGCACCACAATATATCCAAGCTGCCGAATACCTCAGCCAGAAGTTTCATATTAACTACATAAGGATTTCCCCTTATAACTCTCGTGCACAGGGACCGGTCGAGCGACGACATTTTGATGTGTGAGAAGCGCTTATTAAAGCAGTGGAGGGGGATGAATCGAAGTGGCCAGATGTTGCGCCCTCTGTCTTTTGGGCTGAGCGTGTAACAATACAAAAATCGATAGGGTACTCACCATACTACCTGGCCCATGGCGTCGAGCCTCTTTTACCATTTGACCTAGCGGAAGCAATGTACCTAGCCCCGAAAATGGATCAATTAATGAGTACAGAGGATCTCATTGCGAATAAAGCTCGGATGCTGCAGAAATGCCCTCAAGACCTTGAAAGGATTCGTGAACGAGTCATTAAATCTAGATGGGATGCCATCAAACAATTGGAAAAATCAGTGAAAAACAAGACTCACGACTTCAATTTCATGCCCGGCTCCCTGGTCATAGTGAGAAACTCCCGATTCAACAAGGGTCTCTCGGATAAAACAAAACCTTGTTATTTCGGCCCAATGGTCGTGATTAGGAGAACGAAAGGAGGATCATATGTCCTAGGAGAGCTAGACGGCTCCCTATCAAAGCTTATATTTGCAGCGTTCCGAATTATCCCATACCTACCACGAGACATAAGGGCCATTCCGGTGACTAGGATTAAAGGCTTACCAGAAAACATCGAAGAAATCACGCATGATTCGGGCAACCCTCTAGACGTGGAGGAAGAAGAAGATGAATAAAGATATCAATGCGCTTAAAATTTTTTTTTTTTTTTTTTTTTTTTTTTTTTTTAAAAAAAAAAAAAAAAAAAAAAGAATTCATCAAC